TAGAGAGAGAGAGAGGAGGAGGAGGAGGAGGAGGAGGAGGAGGAGGAGAGAGAGAGAGAGAGAGAGAGAGAGAGATTTTGCTTTGAAAGCAGACACGAAGTAAGAGTAGCGTTGTCAGCAAATAGTAGATCGCGGTAAATTCAATATATCGATAAATAATATAGTATAGTATAATATAGTAGTATAGTAATTGTTTAAAGAATGAAAATTAAGTCGTATCTGTAATTATATTTTTTCAGTAATGGCAATCTTACCACCTCACGTTGTAGCAATTTTACAATCTTTCATTGCACGTTATTCACATTTATCAGTTTTCTTATGTCGAAAAGCAAGTAGATAATACGGTTTCAAAGTTATTCATTCCCTAATCGTTATAATAATTTTTAGATATTTAGACAGTACGAAAAGATGATTGTTAAAGGGTGCTTTCTAGTTATGGAACACAGTCATATACTGTGTGACACAGTGTTACGCAATATTGACCAGTAGCTGAAACACTACTTAACTTTTTTATTTCACCATCAGAGGGATCACAGAACAGTCATTTAATGAATTTTTTCAGCCGTGCCAACTCCCACGAGATCATCGATCTTTAATGATTTTAGTATTTTGATGCTGGTATAAGAAATATTGATATTTCAAGAACATATGATCATAAAGTCATGACACAAGAATGATCAATACGTTAATAAGTAAATTATTGTATTGTGCGTACAATACAAGCATTTATGTACTAACATATTATTTACATATATTTATTATTACGTTATCTTTGTAACAAATAATGAAATAATAATAAAGTAAGTGTATGTATGTACTAAATATTTTTTATGGTCCAGAAACATATCACTCTAAGATCATACAGGAACCAACAAGAAAAAAAAAACTTGAATGGGAAAATGATATCCACTTCAGTGATACCAAATGCAAAAATGTTGATATGACCATGAAGTGACACAAAACAATGTTTTAGCTATGTACGATTGTGTCGACTTGTGACATAGTTAGAAAGCACTGGATTATACACTGTGTTACACGGTCGCTTGTGTACATTGCACTGAAGAGCATCCAAAGTATAATAAAAGAGACAATATTTTACGTTGATTCGATACTCATGTATAGCAATCCGTTACTCATATAGTGA